GGGGCATCATGGACCAAAGTGCAGCCATTGTCGGTCCAATTAAACTCTCATGCTTTGTTGTTGAGACCAGGTGGCCACCAAACGGCGTAACGCTATAATATCGCTTCATTGGGGACGGAGTCGTTAGGACGGCAGACGACGCCAGTAAAGACGAAGTGGGCGGAGCGTCGGTCAGCTGACGGACTGGAGGAGAGGCGGTGTGAACACTATCGGGACGAATGGAGCAGAGCAGGACGTGTGTGTGTGTGTGTGTGTGTGTGTGTGTGTGTGTGTGTGTGTGTGTGTGTGTGTGTGTGTGTGTGTGTGTGTGTGTGTGTGTGTGTGTGTGTGTGTGTGTGTGCGATTGCAAAGCACAGACAGTGTGACGATATAACCGATGTTTGCTTCATAACGTCGTTTCGCCTGTGCCTCCTGGCATATTGGAGGTTGATAGCTGTCAGCATAGGAACTCCAATGAACAGATACAGGGCGTACAAGGTCCAAAAACGCATTGAAAACACTGCTGTCAGCTTCCATTCACAGAAACGAGTTGGCTGGCCGTTGGCGGGGTTTTCAGAGGAACTAAAACAACAGCAGCAGCGGCAACGGTGCCCTGAATGTGACCCCGTGTTGGCTACGCCCTAATGGGCAACAGACACGTTCGCATAATGAGAAGGTTGAAATCATCACGCGATGTCTCATTAGGCATTCTGAATTCGTCCTGCGACTTTCACATTTACGTATAATTACTAATGTTTGGTGTGATAGCTAGGTATCAATGTCGACATAAACTAGGCATGATGAATGTACGAGCTCTGTCGAAGGCCGGCTCTCAGCGTGTTTCGGTGGCCACACCAGACTTCTTTACAAGATAACGTTCCTCGAGAAACAGCCGGCTAATCACCTCATTAGCTCAAAACAAGAGGTTTCTGGATCTATTAATCACGTAATATGACAGGCGGAATGAAATGGACAAGTTCTGTAGCACCATCCAACTCCTTCACGCTTCGCTTCAAACCAGCTGTAACTTGCTCGGAGGAGGTTTGCACTCATTGTACCCGACGGCACGTCGAAAAACTGCGTTTGACACGGTTCGCTATCAAAGGCCACTATCTGGCCCTGCGCCTTGGCCATTTATCTTGTCCTTCAAAAGCTATGCTCTTGCCGCTCCGAGCCTGTGCGAAATGCCCGGCACGTGAGGACGTCAGACGTGGACGAGGAAGTTTGCAGGCAGCGGTGGAAGTCACTACAATTCTCGTATTCTTAGCAATTCCATCGCGTTACGGACACGAAGAAAATCTGTAACACGATTTTCGGCAGTTCTGATCAGGGACCATGACTTCTTCCACAATCGTCGCATTCGTAGCAATTCCGTCGCGTTAAGGACACGAAGCAAATATGCAAGACAAGTTTCTGCAGTTCTAATCAGGGACCATGACTACCTCCGCAATCAGCAGGGCCTATGCCTGAGCTTGTGTCTGTCGGCAGCTGGTCCCGTCTGCTGTTGCCTTCTCGAACCGGCAGCGTTTTCCACCGCCGCCGGACCGCGAATTCGACGCGTCCGACAGGGGGCGGCGCGCCGGCAAAGTTACGACAGAGCCTGCGGCCATTTGGCGCACTTGATGGCGGAAACTTTGATTAGCCGGTGGGGCGCGGCGCGCGCGCGGCTGGTCCATAAAGCGCACCTCCGGCGGCGAGGAGCCGGTGTCTGCCGGCGGCCGCCGGCCGCCCGTCGGCGCCGACGACGATATTTTATTTAGCCGCGGCGCCGGACGGTGACTGGACAGCGGCCATGACGGCGCCGTCGCCGCCGGCCAGACCGCAGCGCGATGATGAAAGGCCGCGACGGACCGCTGACGGCGGCGCGTCGCGGCTGCCAGCTGTGGGGACAAAGGAACTGGGCTGCGTGCGCGATGATGGTGAAATAATTATACGCGTGTGTGATGGTGTGCGGTTCGGTCCTGGCGTGATGGATGGAGCTGGAGCAGCGTCGTGATGGACTGATGGCGGTCCGATAACTGTCGGAGAGAGGCGGGCAACAATGCAATCGATGGCCCCATTAGTTTCCGATCGCAATGCAACAGCACATCGACAAGCTGAGCGCGAGTGATGGCCCTGCGGTACCGGAGCAGTTGCTTGGGTTGAGCAAGCCACCCTGAAAAATGGCAAAATAAAAACAACGCGAGCGCGATAGCTCGTCGTTTGGCCGTCCAGACCGCGGGCCAGCCGCGCAACGTTGCCCAACATGCGAGAAGCCGCCCGATCTGATAGTGCCCGAGCGTCTGACGGCGGGCGCCGACTCCCGCAGGACCGATCTCATCAACAAGATGTTGCGGCAGATAGCTCTCCAGTCGTGGCTGCCGGGTGCCGTGCGCGCTGATCCGCTGCGCAATAGCGATGACACCGCTCTAACGCGGCCCAGGCACCTGCACCTCGCGCCGGGCGCGGCCGCGGCCGTGCGGGGAGGGAGGGGAGGACAGGGCGGCGGCGGACAGACAGGAAGTTGCAGATGAAGCGAACGCGCCGCCGCCGCCGCCGGCCGACAATGAGCCGAATCTAGGCTCGTGACCCCGTGTAATCAGGATGTGACAATTCCGCAACGGCCAAATGACCCCCAGCATGCCGAACAGATGGAGTTAGGGCGCCGGCAGGCACGCTGGACGCCAAGCGCCGGTCCGGGCCGCGGGGAACGCGTCGTGGCGCGGCGCGGCGGCGGCGTTCAGCGGTGCCGAGGCCGACGTGCCGGTCTCGGCAGACCGACAAAGGTCCGGCTGCTGCTGAGAGCTTCGACTGGGTGGAGCGGACGCGCCCCAAAGCTTCGGGGCGCATCGCGTCCCCAAAGCCTGGCATGCAAGCCTAGGCCGAGACGTGGAGTACAGTGCGGCAGCGTTAGGCCGCGGCTCCAGGCAGCGGCATGGGGCCGAGATCAGCTGTGATGAGCGGGACAGTTTTGCTCAGAAGGCCTTCGGGAATGAAAGCAGGCACAGGGCCTATCTGGTGGTCTGGGTGGTGCTGAAAACATACGAACCGAGCCCCACCGTCGGCTACAATCTGCTAATGCAGGCAACGCATAACGGTATCTGCTAATGCAGGCAGAGCCTAACGGTATCTGCTAATGCAGGCAACGCATAACGGTATCTGCTAATGCAGGCAGCGCATAACGGTATCTGCTAATGCAGGCAACGCATAACGGTATCTGCTAATGCAGGCAGCGCATAACGGTATCTGCTAATGCAGGCAGCGCATAACGGTATCTGCTAATGCAGGCAGCGCATAACGGTATCTGCTAATGCAGGCAACGCATAACGGTATCTGTTAATGCAGGCAACGCATAACGGTATCTGCTAATGCAGGCAACGCATAACGGTATCTGCTAATGCAGGCAACGCATAACGGTATCTGGTAACGCAGGCAACGCATAACGGCATCTGAAATGTGTCCGGGAGAATCACCATGAGATGCCGTTGGACTGGATACTCCGTTTCCTTGTTGTAGTTCCCTATTCAGTTGGGAGGGGGAGGCCTAGCCTCCCCCCCCCCTCAACCTTCGGAAGAAGGTGGGCTTTGGAGGGGGGGATGCTGGGGGGGGGGGACGCGCTTTGGAGGCGGGCTTGGCTGTTTTTCTTTACCAGTCCCTGGTTATATTGTGAAACTACACCGAAGCAAGGAAATGCTTTGGTGCGAAAAAGTGCACGAAGTCCTCGACTTTGCTGCACATTTAAACCGGGCCTCTATGGGCTTACACAAACATTTGCACATTTGCACCACACTTGGTGTGGTATCTCCTGGACCGCAATCTGGTAGATGCCTAAAAGAAACAGGATATTTTTCATCCCCTCCGCTCTGGAGGGGACGTTGGCCATATAACTTAACTGGGTTGTAAATCAAACGAACGATGACACTAAACTGATGTTTCTTGGATCATTTACCAGGCATGATCAGTCAAATGTCAGCATATCTTCCATTTCAGAAACCAATGACTTTGTTTCAGCGATATGCTCTTCATGGGGCT